GAGCCCAAAGGCTGTTGGGAAGTGTTGTTTTTTTTTGGCTCCGCCTCCCCCATAAGTTACATCTGTTGTTATACAGGGCGATTTAACAACCTTTCATCCAATGGCCAAAGTAAACAATTTCAAACCTGACATATGACCGCTTTTCACCCTGGCTGTTTTTCAGCAGCCACTCCAGGCCCCATCATCCCCGGCAGGCACTTGGAGAGGGATTTCACCTGCCTGGACTCTAACTCCCATCATCCCGCAGTCGTTGCTTCCCTCGTGGGTGGCAGTCTTTAATCCCATCATTCATCTCTTCTCCATCCAACTGGGAGTGGCCAACTATAGGCAGTCCTCAATTTACGACTGACCTTTCTGTCCCTAAGCGAGTCACTTCCTCCATTTTATGACCTTTCTCCCCGCTGTCAATTGGGAATCGCTCCATCGCTAAGCGAGGTGCTTCTGCCCGTTTGGCCTCCTTTTTCAACCTTTCTTGCCACTGTCGCTCAGCGAATCCCGGTGATTACTGTTTGTGATGCGGTCATTAAGTGAATCCCCCATTGACTGAAGGTCATTGAAAGATTGCAGGAACACCGTGATCGTCATAAATACGAGTCTGGTCAAAGTGTTTGAAGTTTGATCATGTGACCCCGGGGAAGGCTGGATGGTCGTAAGTGTGAAAGACGGTCGTAAGTTCATTTTGTCAGCGCTGTTGTCACTTGGAATGGTTGCTAAAGAACCGTTGTAAGTCGAGGACCACCTACCTTGAGCCTTAAGGGAATTTTACTTTTCAGAATTAAGATTTCTACAATTAGCTCTTTCCAGTAAGGGACAGTTAGTCCTCGAGTTACCACTGCTCATTTAGTGACTGCTTTTCCCACTTAATGACTTCTGCACCGTCCTCCACGTTCCGTGATCCAGACTCCTATGCTCGATAACCAATTTGTCTTTACAACTTGATCCCCTTTGGCAAACATCTTGATCAGCCAAATTGAATGGGGGGGAAGACTGATTCACTTAATGATAACTCCAGTGGGGATTCATTTAGTGATGCTGATGAGAAAACTCGTAAAACGAGGCCAAGCTCAAAATTTGGAGGCGCTGTTGTGGTCGCCAGGCGTGGAACGGCCTGGGTTGCTTATGTTTTGGCCTCGCCCACTTTCCCAACGGCCAAACTTCTGATGGTCGTGAAACGGGCATAAATTTGAGGACTTTTGAATCCGAATTTGGTACTTTTTCCCCCTTCTCCTAGCTGATTCCACTTTTCTTAATTATGGGGACCGCTGTGGCTGGAGCTGGACTCTATCTGATGCGTCTGGCTTTGTTCTGTCCCGAAGTCAGGTAAGTCTCCGTCGTGCCTGCATCAAACCTGGTTTATTATCCTACAAACCACCATTGTTGGGGTGGTGGTGGTGGAAGAAATTCTGGGTCTGGAGCTGAATTTGTCGCTATGTTTCCGCATTGTGCAAACAACCACTCGGCATAAAACTCGGTTGGAAGTTAGAGTGGTGTTGAAAAAAAGGCTTATATGACTGTGATTCACACTGTCTGGACTTCAACTCCCAAAATTCCCTTGGGCGTCATGGTCAGTGGGGAGTCCTTGGTGCTCTCTGAGCTGGGTGGTTTCCTTGCAGACATCTTGGGACCCAACTAGGGAACATCATCAGGGCTAGAAGGTAGGAGAAAGAGAAGGAGAAAGAAAGGAAGAAGAGGAGGAAGAATGAGGAGGACTGGTGCTTTCTAACTTTGGCAGTTTTCTTGCAGACATCTCATGACCCAACTAGGGAACGTCATCAGGGCTAGAAGGTAGGAGAAAGAGAAGGAGAAAGAAAGGAAGAAGAGGAGAAAGAATGAGGACTGGTGCTTTCTAACTTTGGCAGTTTTCTTGCAGACATCTCATGACCCAACTAGGGAAGGTCATCAGGGCTAGAAGGTAGGAGAAAGAGAAGGAGAAAGAAAGGAAGAAGAGGAGAAAGAATGAGGAGGACTGGTGCTTTCTAACTTTGGCAGTTTTCTTGCAGACATCTCATGACCCAACTAGGGAAGGTCATCAGGGCTAGAAGGTAGGAGAAAGAGAAGGAGAAAGAAAGGAAGAAGAGGAGGAAGAATGAGGAGGACTGGTGCTTTCTAACTTTGGCAGTTTTCTTGCAGACATCTCATGACCCAACTAGGGAACATCATCAGGGCTAGAAAGGAGCGAGATTATATTGTTGTCAACAGAGAGCAAACCCCACACTCCTTCTAGCCCTGATGATGTTCCCTAGTTGGCTTATGAGACGTCTGCAAGAAAACCACCCAGCTCAGAGAGCACCAAGGACCCCACAAGTCCTCCCCCTCCTCCCCTAGTACTGATGATGTACTCCCCTAGTACTGATGACCTAGTTGGGTCATGAAACGCTAAGTGAATATAGCAGTCGTTAAGTGAGCCCGTTTCCCCCCCCACACACATGGGCGTTATGTGTCCCATACCAGAAACTAAGATCACAACCCAGTACTTTTTGGGGGGGAGGGGGGAGAGGTGAGGCCATTAAAACTTCAAAAAAGAGTGTCAAGTCATTTTGCAAAGGCCCGTCGTAACTCTAGAGCGGAGCAACTAGTTGTTAAGCGAGGACTGCCTTCAGACAGTGTTGTGATTATGTCTAATTTCCTCCTCATTTTTTTCCTCCTAGATGGGATAAGAAGAATAACCCGGAGCCGTGGAACAATCTGGATCCTACTCACCGTTACAAGGTGTGGGCATTTTCAGTGGTGAATCAATGGCGAGGCTCGGGATATATATGACAGGCTTTGCCCCAGGGCATTCCGAGCAAGGGGTGAGGGGTGGGCTAGATGACCTCCAGGATCCCTTCCAACTCAATTATTTCATTCTCTTTTATTCTCCTTATTTATTCTTTTTCTGACCGAGAATGGAACTATAGATGCAGCTATAACTTTGCTAATTCGATATTTCCGAAAGGGTCTCTGGTTTGAGCAGGGGGTTGGACTAGATGACCTCCAGGGGCCTTTCCAACTCTGCTATTCTGTGATTTCAAGGCGCTCCCTTCCTCAAAAAGTGTTTTATTTTGAGAGTTTATATAAGAAAGGACACGGATTAAAGGGCTGGATTTAAATTAGCTTTAGGATCCAGCCAGGCGAATGAAAATAAAAAACTTAAGAAGATAAAAGCCGCTTAAATTCTAAGATCAAGACTTTTACAGTCTTCCATATAGGTGGGTACCTCACTCAAGGACTAGATGCCCTCTAAGGTCCCTTCCCTGTTCTATGATTCTCGAAGCATCTCTTGCTTGAGCAGGGGGTTGGATTAGATGACCTCCAAGGTCCCTTCCGTCTCTGTTATTCTATGATTCTCTTAGGATCTCCTGCTTGAGCAAGGGGTTGGAGTAGATGACCTCCAGGGTCCCTTCCTACTTGGTTATTTTATTCTCTTCTATACTCTTTATTTATTTTCTCTCTGACCAAGAATGGAACTATAGACGCCGCTCAACATTTTTTGGAAATCCTCCCTTCTTAAAGCATGCAGGCCGGGGAATTCTGGGAGTTGAAGTCCACCCTTCATGCTGGCTGTCTCCTGGCGATTGGCCCAAAGTCACCCAGCCGGCTTTTCATGCTTAAGGCGGGAC